GGACATGCACTGCGCGCCGCCGCGCCTGCGGGGACACACGGGACACATGGGACACACAGGACACGCGGGGACACGGACACGCACCACACGCCGCTGCGCCTGCAGGGACACGCGCTCAGGGACACGCGGGACACATGGGACACACGGGACATGGACACCCACTGCGCACCGCCACGCCTGCAGGGACACGTGCTCAGTGCGCCCACGCGGGACACACGGGACATGGACACCCACCGTGTGCCACCGCGCCTGTGGGGACACGCGCTCAGGGACACGGACATGCGGGATGTGGGATGTGGGACACAGACATGCACCGTGCGCCACCGCGCATGCGGGGACACACGCTCGGGGACATGGACACGCGGGATGTGGGACATGGGCACGCACCGTGCACCACCACGCCTGCGGGGACACGCGCTCGGGGACACGCGCAGGACACGCAGGACACGGGACATGGGACACGGACACCCACCGTGTGCCACCGTGCCTGCAGGGACACGCGCTCAGTGCGCCCACGAGGGACACGGGGGACACGGGACATGGACACCCACCATGCGCCACTGCGCATGTGGGGATACGCACGCAGGGACACGTGCAGGACACGGGACATGTGGGACACGGGATACGGACACCCACTGCATGCCACTGCACGTGTGGGGACACGCGCTCAGGGACACGCGGGACGCGGGACACGGACACGCACCGCGCGCCACCGCGCCTGCGGGGACACGCGCTCAGGGACACGCGGGACACGCGGGACGCGGGACACGGACACACACCGCGCGCCACCGCGCCTGCGGGGACACGCGCTCAGGGACACGCGGGACACGCGGGACGCGGGACACGGACACGCACCGCGCGCCGCCGCGCCCCGCTTGTGGCGGTCGAGGATGAGGCCGTTCCAGGGCGCGAAGAGCACGCCGCTGAGCTGCACGAAGGCGAAGGCGTTGGTGTAGCGGCTCACTGCGGGGGCACGGTGAGGGCGGGCGCGCGGGCGCGCGGCATCCCCGCGGCGTCCCCGGCCCCGCGGCGCGGCCCGTACCCAGGGCGAGGTCCCCGCGCGCCAGGTGCTCCAGCAGCGGGTTGAGCGTGCCGATGAAGAGGTAGTGGCGCAGCTGCATGCAGGAGAGCCACGCCACGTGCCACGCGAAGAGCCGCGAGCGCACGCAGCGCCCGAACGGCGGCCCCGCGTCACCGCCTGCGGGGCGGGGCGGGGCTCAGCGCGGGACACGCCCCCCGCGCCGAGGACACGCCCACCTCTCATTTGCATGGCCACACCCCCTCCGTGCAAAAGAAGCCGTGCTGTTTGCATGCCCCATTCAAACACATCGTGCTCTGTTAACACCCCCTGCGACACACCCACGTGAATCTCTAGCCACGCCCACCCCTTTGGGCACACCCCCTGTTCTATCTGCATAGCCACACCCACTCCCGATGCACACACACACCCCCGCACCATTTGCATAACCACGCCCACGCCCCTTGAGCACCCCGGTTCAATGGCCACGCCCACACACCCCCGGACACGCCCACATTCTATTTGCATAACCACTCCCACTTCTCTTCTATTTGCATAGTCAAATCAACCCCACGTGTTCTATTTACATAACCACGCCCACATGGGGGGAACAGACACCTTCTATTTGCATAGCCACACCCCCTTGGTTCAAACACGCCCACCGCACATGACACACCCACATATATTTCAATGGCCACGCCCACTCCCTTGGCACCCGTTCCATTTACATAACCACACCCGTGTTATATTTGCATAGCCACACCCCCTCACCATTATACAGAGCCCTGATTTGCGTAGCCACACCCACCCTCCATACAGACCCCGCCCCCTCACACCCTACCCGCCTGCTAGCCCCGCCCCATAGGGACACGCCCCTCCCCGCCCTCTCCTTGTCCCCGCCCCCGTGCCCGGTGCCGGTGCTCACCCTTGGGCGCAGGGCCGAGGGGCGCGGGCTCCAGCGGGGCGTCCTCGGGGCCGCCGTCGTCGTCGCGCGGCGGCGGCGGCCGCTTCTCCTCGTAGGTGCGGTAGGAGCGGGAGCGGGATGGGCAGCGCAGGCTGCGGCCGGCACCGCCGTGAGCGGGACCCGCCACGCGCCCCCCCGGCGCCCCCCGCGCGCGCCCCCTCACCCGTAGTCGTAGGCGGCGGGCAGCGGGTAGGGGATGCGGCGCCGCGGCATGAGGAAGAGCGTGCGCAGCACGTGCCAGGCGCTGCAGCCCGCCATGAAGAGGAACATGGCCCGCAGCGGCAGCCCCCGCTCGTAGAGCACCTGCGGGGCCGCCATGAGCCCCACGGCCCCGCGACGGCCCCGCACACGCTGGCGGCCCCATCCCGTGCCCGTGTGTGCGCCCCTTCCCAGCCCCGTCCCCCATCCTTGACCCGGCCGCGTCATCATCCATGTCCCCCATCCATGTTCCCCATCCATATCTGCAATCCATGCCCCTATCTGTGCCCTTTCCCAGACTCGTCCCCCATCCTTGACCTGGCCACTTCACTATCCATGTCCCCCATCCATGTCCCCCATCCATATCTCCAATCCATGCCCCTATCCATGTCCCCAGCCATGTTCCCCATCCTTACCCCTAGCCTTGGCCCCTATCCATGTCCCCCATCCATATCTCCAATCCGTGCCTCTATCTGTATCCCCAACCATGTTCCCAGCCATGTCACCAGCCCTGCCCCTATCCGTGTCCCCCATCCATATATCGAATCCATGCATCTCCAATCCCCTTCCATGTCCCCCACCAATGTGTCCAGCTACCAACGATGCCACCAACACATTGATGCCCAATCGATGCCACCAACCATATCCTCCATCCATGTTCCTGGCCATGCCGCCAGCCATGTCCCCATCTGTTCCCCCAGCCATGTCCCCAGCCATGTCCTTCAGCTGTGTCCCCATCCGCATTCCCTGCCACGCTGCCAACCGCGGCACGCCTGACGTTCCCCAGATATGCCGCAATCCTCGTGCCCAGCCGTGCGCCCTGCCCTGTCCCCCATCAACATCTCCAGCTACACCCCAGTCCATGACATGCCCACCGCCCGTGCCCACCTTGATGATGAGGAAGATGGCAGAGGAGGAGTCGAAGGCCCCGTTGTAGAGCGTGATGATGACGGAGCGGTACTTCCCGAAGAGGTTGCCCACCTGGCACAGCGAGGCCCCCCGTGAGCGCCCCGGTGCCGTTGGGACAGCCCGGTAGGGGGGCACAGCCCCCGCGCCCCTCACCTGCATGTTGGTGAGGATGAGGAGGATGCCGCCCACCGACAGCAGCGACATGGCCGGGAAGAGCAGGACGGCAGAGCCTGGGCACACGGGGATGAGCGGGGGCCCGGGGGGCCGCCGTGGGGCAGGGGCGAGCGAGGGGCCCCCTCGAGGGGGTCTCACCTGGGGTGGAAAAGGCGACGAGCAGGGTGCCGGTGGCGTAGAAGGAGCTGCAGAGGCGGGCGGTGGTGACGCGGGGACGCAGCGGGGACGCGCCGCCGCCCCCGGGGTCCCTCGGATTGGCGCCCCATGGCATCCATCCCTCCCATGGGCATCTAGGGGGCTGGGGGGGCCCCTCAGGTTGGGGGGCCCCGGGGGACATGGAGGAGCACGGTGGGTCCATGGGAGGTGCTGGCCATGGGTCGGCCCTCCATGGACATGCTGGAACTATTGGGGACACGGATGAACCCAAGGGACAGCGGAGGGGCCCGGGTGCTCCCATCCCGTGGGGCAGGTCCCACCCTGCCTGGGCGCCCTGATAAAGCCCCTGCGGGCGATAGTGGCGCCCCGCGGGTGGCCCCGCTCCCCGGCCCGCTCACATGGCGATCAGGCGGGCCACGGTGGTGCCGAAGCGGTCGAAGATGTAGCCCATGGGGAAGGTCATGAAGTTGTTCATGAAGGAGCCGATGGTGAAGACGAGGGAGAACTGCTCATTCTGCTTGCTGCAGTCTGCAAGGCAGTGACGAGCGGCACATGGGGACACCGGGGACACGGGACACCAGGGACATGGAGTATCACAGGCCATGGGGATAAGTGGGGACATGGGTCTGGGACACCAGGGACACGGGACATCCCAGACCACCAAGGGATGGACAGCAGGGACAAGGGACACAGATCACAAGGCAGCAGGGACAAGGCCATCACAGCCCACCGGGACAGCAGCAACGTGGGGTATCACAGGTCACGGGGACAATGGGGATGCACGTCTAGGAAACCAGGGACATGGGATATCACAGGTCGCGAGGACAGTGGAGACCCAGGTCTACGATAGCAGGGACAGGAGGGACAGGAGAGACCAGAGCTAGCGTAGGGCACGGAGGCAGCAGGTCCAGGGGCCACCAGGAGGGAGAAGCCCCGGGCCTGGGGCAGCAGGGACAGGGCGAGGGACGAGGCGTGGGGCCGGCGGGGACGTCCTACCGAGGAGCTCGGTGCCATTGGGTCCGGGGCCGGGCAGGCAGAGATCCTGGAAGTAGCCGAGATCCTTGAGCACGTAGACGAGGGAGGCCCAGCCGAAGATGATGCCGCAGAAGGCGCCGCACTCGAGCAGCCCCGTGAGCAGCGTGGCCAGGCGCTTGGGCAGCCCCGCGCCGCCCGCCGTCGCGCTCGCCGGGCCTGCGGGGACGGCGCCGTGTCACTCCGCGACCCCCGTCCCGTCCCGTCCCGCTGCCCGCACGCACCCACCCGGCTCGCGGCGCCGCGCGCACCCGTCCCCGCCATCGCCATCGCGCGCGGCCCCTAATGAGGCGGGCGCGCGCGCGCCGGGCGCTCCTCGCCAGCCCAGGGCCTTATCGCGCGGGGCCACCCCGTGTCCCTCGCCCCCGTGCGCCTTGTAATGACTCCTAATGAGGCCCCGGGGGCCGGCCGCGCTCGGCTAATGATTAACCCGGGCACCGCTGGGTGTTTATCCAGGGCCACGCTATCTTTAGCTCGCGGCCGCAAAGCCTCTCACCCTGGAGAGCGAGCCGCGCGCCTCGTGGGGATTCTCCGCTGTCTGCTATGGGGTTGAGCTCAGGCGGGAGAGGGGAGCAAAGCGGAGGGGTCCCGGCCTGGCCCTGGCGAGCCCGTTGCACAGCATGCCGGGGGACTTTGGGCCCTGATTCGGGTGCCCTGGGTGCAGGGGGCAGGGGGTGGGAGCCGGGGAGCGGCACAGCCCCGTGGCCGCGGGGGCAAAAGTGCTGATGCAGCACGTGGGGCAAGCGAGCGAGGCCCCGACCCCGCAAGGGGGGACTTTGCCCTCGCACATGCATGTGCACACACGTGCCTGGGGGCAGTGCCCCCCACCCCTATCCCCCACGTGAGGCGGGCACGGAGGCATCCGTGGGGGATCCCAGATGTCCCGCACGCGGCAGTGGGGCCAGGCCCGGCCGTACCCCGCAGGGCGGATGCGGCGGGGCCCGTAGGGCCGTGCCCGGCTGCGCTTGGCTGCTCCTGGCGAGCGCGGACGTGCTGGGGCGGGAGGAGCGGGAGGAAGTGGCGAGCGGGACACGGCAGCGCCGCGGCTGCGCACCCAAACCCCGCGCTGGGGCTGCCGGGACTGCCGGGGGTGCCGGGCCCCGGGTAGGGCAGCCCTGCGGTCAAGGCCCCGTGCCCAGCTCACGGCCCCCAGGTCACCCCACATCCCAGTGCCCGGGTCACCTAAACACCAGCCCCTAGGGCACCCTATAGCTTGGCTCCTCAGCCGGCCCACACCCCAGCCCTCCGGCTACACTGTAGTCCAGCGCTCCCGGGTCATCCTAAATGCCAGCTCCCGTATCCCCCAGCCTCCAGCTACTCTGTAACCCGGCCCCCTTGTCACCTATATCGAGGGTCACCCTTTATCCCAGCTCCTTGGCTTCCCTAAATCCCAGCTCCCTGGCTTCCCTGTATCCCAGCCCTCTGGCTACGCTGTATCCCTGTCCCCAAGGCACCCTATATTCCCTCCGCCGGTATATTTCCTCCTATATCCCCACCTTCTGGCCATGTGCTATCTCCGCTCCGCGCTCTTCCTATATCCCGCCTCCAGGCCGCCCGGGATCCCCGCGCCCTGCTCACCCTATCTCCGGGCCCCGGGGCCATCCTAGAGCCCCGGCCCCCAGCGCGGCCCCCCCGGCCCGATCCCCC